TGACTGCTAACCAGAAGGCTGGCGGTTCAAACCCACCAGCCACTCCTCGGAAGGAAGGTTGGCCAATCTACTTCCGTAGTGATATTGCCTCGGAAACCCAATGAGGGGCCACTATGAGTCAGGTCCGATTCGAGGGCAAATAACAACAACAGGGATGCTATTCTTGAGACTATAGCTTAACCACCTTATTCCCATTGCACTGCCTTAGTTCAGACACTCACCTTTCTTGGATGCTCTCTAGTTACACTCTAATTTCATTATCATTTAAATGTTTTCTTTATCTGATTCCCTAACACATCATAAAACAAAAATGACCTTGGCATGTGCTACCTCTAAAAAGGAAAAAAAAAAAAAAAAAAGACTCTATTAAATCTGAAATAGTCCAAACTCCTTTGAATGGATTCAAAACACTTCAAAACCTGGATCCTACCCACCTCTCTAGCCTCATCTCCCACTACTTCATCTCCTCCAACACCAGCCATACCTCTGTGCCTTTGCATGGGCTTTTGTTTATCATTGAAGTGGACTTTTCAGTCCTCTTCACCCACAGAACATCTCCTTGTCAATTAAAACCCAATGAAAGTATTACTTCTTCTGTGAAACTCTATGTCCTCACACCCATATCTTCCCAACGCATCTGCCCAGCAAAACATTAATGCTGAATCAATGCCACACTCTTCTTTCATAACATCTAAAGTCAACAGGTCAAACACTACTGAAGAAAATCACAGAATCTTGGCACAACTACACATGATCTTCACCCTCTGTTGGGTTGTGAGCAGTTTTAGTATATGTTGTTCTCAATGACTATTTCAAATTCCACAATTTTCCCAAGTGTTCCATTCAACTGTTGTTCCATCTCTCAATAATCTTGACTCATTCATTACCTAGAAAATAGGGCCTCAAGAAGCCACCCCTATTCTAAACCTCCTTTGTTCAATTTCTCCTGCTATTATGGCAAGATCAGCAGCTGCCACTGTGCCCTTACATCCTTACATCCTTCCCTTCACTCATCAGCCTACAAACATACTCACTGTCTCCACTTGGAGGGAAAGAAGAGTCCCTACCTTGACCCTAACCAGTTGCTGGTGAGTTGGAATCGACTCATGGCAACTCTAGGTGTCAGAGCAGCATTGTAATCCCCCTTAAACTTTAACCAATATCCTGTTTTCCCTTGTTATGCTGTTGAATGCAGTCTACGTTATCTCCCCCTCTTCACATTCCAGTGACTACTAAAGCAAGTAGTCTAGCTTCTCACCTCAAAACTCTCCACAACAGCTCTAAAGAAATTTGCCAATCAACGCTCTTTTAATTGAGTGTCAATGCATACTTTTTCACTCTTACATAATCAGAAAAGCAACTGCATTCAACATTAACCATTTCTCCCTACTTCTGAAAACTTTACCTTCCTGATTACTGTGATTATATCCCTCCTATTCTGACAGTTACCTTTTTCACTGCCATGTCTTCTCTGTCCTCCCCTTGGTATCAGTGTTTCCAAGCACCTTACTAGGTCCATCAAAACATGACTCTACACTTTGAGTAATTTCAGCCTCAGTTTTCCTATGCACAAAATTGTCAAATAGTTATCAACAGTCTAGATCACTCTATCACACTCTATGAATATCATTTATCCACTGTCTCCTGGTCATCTCCACCTGGCTGTCACACAAGCATATCAAATTCAGCATAATCAAAATTTGAGTCTTATCTGCTTCTGTTCTCTAGCTTAAATGAAGGCAGCCCTGTACATCCCAGGAGTCTTCCTTGATTGGTACCTTTACCCTACCACCACCGCAACCATTCAATCATCAACCAGGATGGTTTGTCACCTGAATATTTCCCCAGTCCTCTCACCTTTGCCTTCTTAGTCTCTTAATAAGGCAGCAGACTCCTAACTGGTCTCTGGCTCCAGTCTTATTCCCTTCAAATCTCAAATTCATCTTCTAACGGAATTCTTCTCTAAAGGCCAACCTGCTCCAGAGCCACAGCTATGGTCTCAGTCTTCCAGTATTTATTCTAACTGGCTTATAAGGCCTGTTGTTGCTGTTACTGCTAGGTGTCATGGAGTTGAGGCAGACTCATAGCAACCCTACGTACAACACAGCAAAACACTGCCCGGTCCCGTGCCAGCCTCACAATCCTTGCTATACCTGAGTCCATCATTGCGGCCATTGTGTCAACATATGCCCTTGAAAAACAGATTCCCTTTCTCTATGTTCTCATATTACATCATGTATCTTTCACCACACTTGTTGTTGTTGTTGTTATGTGCCCTCGAGTCAGACCCGACTCATAATGACCCCTCCTTGGGTTTCCAAGGCAATATCACTACAGAAGTAAATTGCCCCATCTTCCTTCCAAGGAGTGGCTGGTGGGTTTGAACTGCCAGCCTTCTGGTTAGCAGTCAAGTGCCTTAGGCACTATGCTACCAGAGCTTCCTACCATTGTATAATCCTGTGCTTTTATGTTTTGCTCAGCCTTTTGCCTAGGCTGTAAGTTCTCTGAGGACTCATCCACTGCACTGGAACGGATTACGACTCATAGTGACCCTATAGAACTGTCTTATAGAGTTTCCAAGGCTGTAAATCGTTATGGAAGCTGACTGCCAGCCACATCTTTTTCCAAAAGAGCCGGCTAGACCGCTACTCGTTTCGACTGCCCAGTGCTTTAACAACTGCGCCACCAGGGCGCCTTCTTCTTGAGGGCAGGGGCTGTCTTGCCATCATTATACCCCCTGTCTGGCACATTCCATAGCAGGTATTCTGACAATGTTTGTTGAATGTATAAATAAAACTTCCCACATTGTCCATCACACCTCCTCCCTCATCGACCTCGACCTGCGTATTTGACACTTAAAACATGCACTGTTTCTGTTCCGACGTCTCTGTTCTCCGCTACATGAAGGGCTCTTGGAGGGAGAGGACCCACCAAATTCACCTGCGTAATTCCTCGGAAGGAAGGTTGGGCAATCCTACTTCTGTAGTGATAACTGCCTCGGAAACCCAAGGAGGGGTCGGTAGGAGTCGGGGCCGACTCGGTGGCAAATAACAACAACAACAACAATTCCAGTCCGGGGACACCAGCAGAAGAATGAATGAAAATGCTCGGCCAGAAAGAGGCGATCTGTCTTGTATTTCTTTTTCACACACCCTTCCCGCGCTCGAACCCACCTCGGGCGAATGGATAAGTAGACGCGTGACCCCCGAAACAAGCACAGACCTCCCAATTCCTGAGTACCCAGCCTGCATCTGCTGCCTCCACCCACAACCAACTCCCACCCCGCTGTCCTCTCCCGGCCGAAAGTTGAAAAGGGCGCTGCGGGCTCACCGGCAGGCGAAATTCCAGGTGCTCCTGCGCCATGAGCAACAGATACCTGGTAAGGGAGCACGGCAGCGCCATTGCTGCCGCCAGCCGAGCGCCTGCGCGGCTAGCACGGTGTTTCTCTCCACCGACTCCCACCCTTCACCACCCAGCCGCATTCCCGCTAAGGCGGGGCCTCAAGGGCGGAAACGGAAGCAAGGCAAAGGCCTATGCTCCGCAGTTCCTCGCGGGCAAGATTGGAATCTGGGGCGCCGTGGGAGAGGTTGTCTGTCCTGGGACGTGCTTCTCTACTGCAGCTCCCGAAGTCTGGGTGTAATTGGTGTGAAGGGGCAGCATTGTTTCCATAAGCAGGTTACAACAACGTAGTTCATAGCGGTTCTCCCACCTAGAATGTGATATAAAGTATATCCTTTATAGCCCCAAGTAGCTCTGGTGGCGCAGTGCCTAAGGCATTTGACTGCTAAGCAGAAGGTTGGCGCTGCGAACCCACCAGCCACTCCGCGGAAGGAAGCCAGTGCAATCTACTTCCGTAAAGATTGACCGCCTGGGAAACCCAGTGGGGGTGGCTCTGAGTGGAAATGGACCGATGGCAGTGGGTTTGGACCATATGCCAGGAGCTTAGTAGTAGTGATTAAGAACATAGGCTGTGGTGATAGTTAAATTCAGACCTCTCAGTTCCACCATTTACCACCTATATGTTCTTGAGTAAATATCTAAATTTCTCAGCCTCAGTTTTCTTACCTAAACAAGGATAATACTGCCTCCTCCAAATAACCGTTAAAAGGATTAAATGGAATATTGTACATAAAGTGTTTACTATAATACTTGGTATATTATATGGGGCTAATAACTGGTATTTATGGAGACTTTTCCTTTTAAAAAAGCCTTATGAATTCTTAGTAATCTGCCTTTGTTAGGAAAATCCATTGCTAAGTCCATTTGGGGAGTCCTTGGGTGGTGCAAATGGCCACACGACATTGACAGTTGGAACCCACCCAAAGGTGGCTCGGCAGACAAGGTGGCAGTCTGCTCTTGAAAGGTTAAACAACAAAACAAAACAAAAATTCCTCACTGCCATGGAGTCGGATCGGACTCATAGCAACTCCCCTTGGGTTTCCGAGGCAGTACCCCTACAGAAGTACTTCCTTCCTAGGAATGGCTGCCTGGAAAACCCCGTAGAGCAATTCTACTCTGAATAGGTAGGGTCACGAGTCACCAACTAACAAAGTCCACTTGAGCTAAGGAAGTGTCTGGGGAACATAGATGTTTCTTGCCCCGGGGCTCCAGAGAAGAGGATAAAAGTGCTTTGTATGAAACAAGAAAAGGAAGTTGTTTCCTCTTTCAGGAGAGGTCAAAGTGGAACAGAAAACCAATAAAATATTTGGGAAAGGGTGTGCAGTGCTTGATATGACCCATTCCCAGAACTTGTCAAATCTTAAATAGAATTTCCAAACAAAATAAATTGATGGGGCACTTTTTTAGGAAATCTGTGAAGAGTGTTTTGTTTTTGTGCCTGAATTTATATGATGCTCTGCAGAGACCACGAAGGAAATACAGAGTCTAAGAAAAACCAGATGGAATCAGGATACACCGATTTTTTTTTTTTTTCACCTGAGGTCCTTTGAGCTAAGGTTCAGGAAGTTGTACCTTACTCTAGATCCCCACTCCAGACATCAGGAGAGCATCTGCATCTTAAGTCTCAAACTATCGGAATCATGATGATATGGATTAAATTGTATCTCCCAAAAATATGTGTTGCAATCCTAACCTTTGTACCTGTAAATATGACCCTGTTCAGAAATAAGACTTTCCTTTTGTTATGTTAATGGTTATACCAGAGTAGTGTTGTTGTTGTTGTTATGTACCGTTGAGTCAGACCCGACCCATAGCGACCCCTCCTTGGGTTTCCAGGGCAGTATCACTGCGGAAGTAGATTGCCCCATCTTCCTTCCGGGCAGTCACTAGTGGGTTTGAACCGCCAGCCTTCTGGTTAGCAGTCAAGTGCCTTAGCCACTACGCTACCAGAGCTCCCGAGTGTAATCACTTCTGAGTTATGAAGAGCAGAGCAGACACAACTACACACAGAAAGAAGGAAGAAGATGCAACATGAAGATTATCTACAAAGAAATGGCGAGGATTGCTGGCAGTCACCAGAAACTGGGAGAGAGTCCCATAGAAGGAACTGATTGAGTAAAGAGTCAAGACTCTGATTTCAACTTTTAGCCTCCAGGACTGTGAGAAATTAATGTTCTTTAAAACCACCCATTTGTGCTATTTTTGTTATAAAAGCACTAGGTAACTAAGTCACATGGCACAAGTAGAGATTAACTTCACACAGGCCATCAGGATTAGTGCAGAACTACTCTGAGATCAATTAAACTGCCTTTAGGGGACTCTCAGCCATACCAGTCCAATGGTTTTCCACTTACTAGAATTATTAAGGGGCTGAAGACGACTAGAGACTTTGAAAGTTAGTGTTTAAATGGCAGTACAGAGACTTGTTTGCTTATCTGTTCTCATGCACTGAAAAGTGCAAGAAGGTTCATAGTCTGTCTTCAAGGAACTGATCCTTTACTCCATCCATGCTTCATCTCCTAGGGCACATCTCATGGAGACTTGGTTCCTGTAAGTTGCTCTGGCATAGGCTGCCAATTACGAAAACTAGAGCCATTCCTGGGAAGTATGCACCAGACGTTAAGAGAATTTTGAGTTCTGGTTAGAACATGCCATTACAGTTTTGAGACTGGTACAACACGAACCAGAAAAAAAAAAAAAACCCTAACCGCCATTGAGTCAATTCCGACTCATAGCGACCCCCTTTGAGTTTCCAAGGTGATAAATCTTTACAGAAATAGATTGCCTAGTCTTCCTTTGGGAGCTCTGGTAGCACAGTGGCTAAGGCACTTGACTGCTAACCAGAAGGCTGGCGGTTCAAACCCACCAGCCACTCCTCAGAAGGAAGATGGGGCAATCTACTTCCGTAGTGATACTGCCTCAGAAACCCAAGAAGGGGTGGCTATGAGTCGGGTCCAACTTGACAGCACATAACAACAACAGTCTTCCTTTTGTGGAGTGGCTGGTGGGCTTGAACAACCAACTTTCTGGTTAGCAGTCAAATGCCTTAGGCACTACACCACTCGAGCTCCTTTTTGGTATGACACAGAGTCAGTTAAAAAAAAAAAAAGTGAATAGTTAGTGTCAGCAGCAGAGGTCATAGGTAATGTCAAAACTGTCCATGCATGCATCTGTGTAACCCAAATGCCTATCAAGGTAGATTGTCATCACCCCAAAGTTTCCTCATGTCCCTTCCAAGTCAGTCTCTGCCCTCACATCACCATCTTACTTTTGCTTATTTAAGAATTGCATATAAATGGAATCACAAAGTATATAGTCTTTTGTGAACGTGTATTTTCACAATGTTTCTGATACTCATCTGTGTGGTGCATACAGTCTTTTCTTTTTGTTGCTGTTGTTGTCAGGTGCTGTTGAGTTGGCTCTAACTCATAGCGACCCTATGTACAACAGAACAAAGTGCTGCCCAGCTCTATGCCATCCTCACAATCCTTGCTGTACTTGAGCCCATCGTTGCGGCCACTGTGTCAATCCATCTTGTTGAGGGTCTTCCCCTTTTTCTGACCCTCTACTTTACCAAGCATGATGTCCTTCTCCAGGGCATAATCCCTTCTGATAACATGACCGGAGTAGGTGAATTAAGTCTGGCCATTCTCACTTCCAAGGAGCATTCTGGCTGCACTTAATCCAGGACAGATTTGTTCATTCTTCCAGTACTCCATGGTATTTTCAGTATTCTTCATCAACACCACAATTCAAAGAAATCAACTCTTCTTCAGTCTTCTTTATTCACTGTCAAGCTTTCACATGCATATGAGGTGAATGAAAATACCATGGCTTGGGATAGGTACACCTTAGTCTTCAAAGTGACAGTGTTGCTTCTTAACACTTTAGTCTTTTGCAGCAGATTTGTCCAGTGCAACATAACATCTGATTTCTTGACTGCTGCTTCCATGGGTGTTGCCTGTGGATCCACATAAAATGAAATCCCTGATAACTTCAGTCTTTTCTCCATTTATCATGATGTTGCTTATTGGTCCAGTTGTGAGGATTTTTGTTTTATGTTGAGGTATAACCCATACTGAAAGCTGTAGTCTTTGATCTTCTTCAGTAAGTGCTTCAAGTCATCTTGTCTTTCAGCAAGCAAGGTATATCATCTTCTTATCACAGGTTGTTAATGAGTCTTCCTCCAATCGTGATGTCACGTTCTTCTTCGTATAATCCAGTTTCTCAGATTATTTGCTCAGCATATAGATTGAATAAATATGGTGAAAGGATACAACCCTGATGCACACTCTTCCTAACTTTAAACCATGCAGTATCCCCTTGTTCTATTCAAATGACAGCTTCCTGGTCCATGTAGAGATTCCTCATGGCACAATTAATTGTTCTGGAATTTCCATCCTTCGCAATGTTGTCCATAATCTGTTATGATTACATAGTCAGATGCCTTCACGTAGTCAATAAAACACAGATAAATATCATTTTGGTATTCTTTTGCTTTCAGCCAAGATGCATCTGACATCAGCAATGATATCTCTTGTTCCATGTCCTCTTCTGAACCCAGCTTGAATTTCTGGAAGTTCCCTGTCAACATACTACTGCTGAATAGTACTCCACTACGTAAATATACCACAATTTGCTTATCCATTTTCCTATTGATGTTTCTGTTTCCAGTTGGGGTCTATTATGAATAAAGCTATTATGAACATTTTATATACACCTTTTTGTGGATATGGTTGTGCTAGTTAAGGAGCTATGTTAGTGCAGTGCCGAAGGCATTTGACTGTTAACCAGAAGGCTGATGGTTCAAACCTACCAGCCCATCTGCAGAAGGAAGATGGGGCAATCTACTTCCTTGAAGATTTACCACCTTGGAAACCCAACAGGGGTCACTATGACCCCACTGAGTCAGAACTGACTCAATAGCAGTGGGTTTGGCTTTTTGCTTTGGAGTGTGTGTTAGTTAAAGTTGTGTGTCAACTTGGCTAGGCCATGGTTCTGAGTGGCTTGGCAGATAGATGTAGTTACTCCCCAATGATGAGATTTTAATCACCCTCATGGTGGAATTGCTTTTAGGGTGTGGCCTGTTCCCAACATATATGGAGAAGCTTTAAGAGAAGTTGAGCTTTCAGCATATTTTAAATCCTGCATTTGACTGAGTCTTCAACTCCAGTTCCTGGACTGGAAGCAGTGGCCTGCTGTGTTGTGTGCTATTCTTGGGATTGTGTAATGTTGACTGTCCATCTTGGGTTCATTAGCCTAAGCAGCCAGCAGCTATGTGAGTCAAGAAGTCTCCAGCTTGCTCCAGCAGACCTGGAACAAGAGGCAGAGCTGAAGCCCAAGATCAAGGGGCCTTTACCCATCCCCTAGAGCTAGCACTTTGAACTCAGACTTCTAGCCTCCTAAACTGTAAGAGAATAAATTCCTGTTTGTTAAAGCCATCCATTTATGGTATTTCTGTTACAGCAACACTAGAGAACTAAGACAATGGGTTTTCAATTCTCCTGCTTTGCAGTAGAACTGCTGATTCATAGGATAGGTATATGTTTAATTTTATAAGAAATTACAATGGGCATGACTTTTTGATAAGCATAGCAGGAACTACAAGTGTAACAGCAGGAACTATACCTGGTATGTTTGAGGAACAGTAAGGAGAACAGTGTGACATGACTGCAGCAACAAACAAGAGGGTAAGTGAGCAGGCCTCACCATTTAGGGCTTTTAAAACAACTAAAAGGGCTTTGCTTTTGATGAATGAAGAAGGGAAATCAATGGAAACCTTTGAGCAGAGGACTGACATGATCTGCCTTACATTTTAATAGGATCACTCTGGGTGCTGTGTTAGAATAAACTGTGGAGTGGGTGAAGACAAAGGCAGGGAGATTAGTGAGGAGGCTATTGAAATAATCTAGACAAGAAATGATGATTTGGCCAAGGTAAAAGCAGTACAAGTTGTGAGAAGAGGTCAAATTCTGAATACATATTGAGGGTTGTTTTGGTCCTATAATGCCACTCTAAAAGAAAATAGGACAAATGGGTGGCTTTAAAAAACAGGGATTTATTCTCTTACAGTTTAACTCAAAACCAAACTCACTGCGGTCGAGTTGGATCCAACTCAGTGACCCTCCCTTGGGTTTCCAAGGCGATAGCACTATGGAAATAGATTGCCCAACCTTCCTTTCAAGGAGTGGCTGGTGGGTTTGAACCATCAGTCTTCTAGTTAGCAGTCACATGCCTTAGGCAGTATGCCACTAGAGCTCCTCCTTATAGTTTAGGAGGCTAGAAGTCCAAGTTCAAATGCCAGGTCTAGGGGGTGGGTGAAAGCCCCTCTCAACCTTGGGCTTCAGCTTTGCCTCGTGCTCCCAGTCCACTGAAGCTGGGGGCTCTTAGCTCAGGCAGCTGCTGGCTGCTGAGGCTGACATTCCCAAGGTGGACAAACAAAATGGCACAGTCCCAAGATTATCAAACAACATGGCAGGCCACTGGTTCAAGTCCAGGAACAATCCCAAGATCAACAGACAACACAGCAGGCTGCTGAATGAAGACGTGGCTACATGCAGGGTCCAGGCATGCCAAAAAGCTGCAGAGACCTTTCTCAACGTTTCTTCTTATACACTGGAAGCACACCAGTAGATTCCACCATGGAATTGATTACCAGTCTCATCATGGGGAATAACTACATCCAGCTGCCCAGCCAAGTTGACACACAACTTAACTACCACAAGGGTATTGCCATTAGCATTTACTTATGTGTTAGATATGGAGTATGACAGACAGGAGTCAAAGGTGACTACAAGATTTTTGGTGTGAGCAACTGAAAGGTTGCAGTTGCCGTTAACAATGATGGGGAAAAAAAACGAGAGGAACAGGTGGCGGAGGGCAGAACATATTAAGCTTGAGGTCCTTGTTTTATATCAGAAAATATAATACACTTACATGAAAGCTGCTCTGGCCTAGGGTTGAGTTTAATTTATGCATAACTGTTGATTGCAGACCCATCTCTACTGATGTCATTTTAAATAACTAATCATACAATGAAGATCTGATTTGATTTAATGAATTTGAGATCTGATTTTTTTGTATTTATATTACTAGAATAAAAATTTGCTGCTGAACAGGTATCAGCTTTATTTGGTGACTTGGAGTAGCTGGCACTTCATGAAATTGTGGGCATCAACTTTTGGAGGTGACCTTTTGACATCAAAATCTAGAACTGTGTGGGTGCCACAATAATACAGACTGTGCTCTTGACCTTGGATCTTTATATATATTTTTAAAAAAAAAGTATTTCAACATCTCTCACAGTGAATCCCTAATATATTACAATTAGCCAATTTATTAAATACTTTCATTTGAAATTCTTTTTTTAGTACTATTAAAAGGGACCCAAGAGGCAAAATTTGACACAGTATTTTAACATTTTATTTAGCTTTCTTCTAGCTAAGTAAGCAGTTTGAAATAGCTTATTACTAATAATTTTATAATTCTGCAATTACAAACACAACATGCACAAATAATGCTCTCAATACTCCTTTAAATGTTTTTAAGAAAGTTATGAATTAGCTTTCTGTTGGATAGTGGTTAGCAACCATTCCATAGCTAGTGGTTATATAACTAGAGAGTCATCAGATACTACTGAAAAGGCTAAGTGAATTTTAATTGCAATTTGATTATTAATCTTTACAAGTAAAAGCAGAGAATCTACACAAAAATGAGAGTTTCCAACAATGAAGAAACACTTTTTTGAGAGGGTATTAAGTCTATATAAATTAAATCAATGGGCTAATCACATAGTGAAAGAGACCTAGAAGGCTTTAAGAACACGTTAAATACCTTACACACATCATTGCAAATTCACATAGGAAAACATTCAGGGTTGCACATGTTGCCAATTCCTTTGTGGAGCTGATCGTATTTTAACTGATGTATGGAAACTTGCGATTGCAATGCAATTTTGAAAGCCCGCACCCCTACTCCAAATTCCCTTCCCCACCTCCCACTTCTGGTAATTAAAATGAAATTTTGACATTCATTTCCATTGTCATGTAAATAAAAGTGGAAAAAGAACTTAAGAAAAGTATACATGGGAGGTCTTGGCTTAAACTGCCATTGCCTGCCTGCCTAAAACTGAGTCTTCAATACTGTTCCACTGCCACTGCTCTCAGAACTATTTCCCCCTCTACAACCTCTTCTGTGGACATATAACCATTATAGCACTTACTACACTAAATTTATTCACTAATTTTCTCTGATCCCTGGATTAGCAGTTAAAGGAAGACTATTTTTTCTCATTTACATATTCTCTGAACATAGAGTCTACCAAAAACCAAACCCACTGCCAACACGCCAATTTGGACTCATAGCAGCCCTACAGTTGGATCTAGTACATGTTAAAGCACAACGAATGTTTGCTTACTGAATAAATGAGTAAACTAAGCAACACTGACTCCAGATGTTTTCACCAAACATTGCAATAAGCATTTCCTTATTTAAAATGTTACTTTTAAAATAATGTACTGCCCTCCCAAAAAAAGAGAAAGAAAACCAGTAATCACAGCCTAATTCCAGCATCAACACATTAATTTTATGTTAATTTATATTCACGTACACTGGCACAATGCAGGATTAGCTTTGAGCACCTACTCTTCATTCCTGTCCACCATTATTACTATACACGACACAGAAATATTAAAATGGCTTAGCATCGAAAGACAATTCCTAAGAAATATGCCATATAAAATAATATATTAATATTATAGTTATTAAAACAAATTTTCTCATCTCAATCTATCTCTACTTCTAAATTAGGCCTTTTTCATGATAAAAGCTATATCCATTCACTTTTTATTCTAATTTCTCTTTGATACAAAAAAAAATTCCATAAAGCAATGGTTTCTGTCAGTTTTAATATATCAATATAACCATTTTATGTTTCTCCCACATGTATGTTATAATAAGTAAAATTCTATCACAGTGAACTCTATTGGACAGCTAACTTAATGGTATTTTGAAAATTCACTGTTAAAAATTGTACTTCCAACTTTCATGACCAATAAATGACAAAGATGTTGGACTTCAGGAAGTGAAAAATAGCATCTGAAATTTAAGTGAAAAGTGGCACACATACAATTCTTTCTACCAACAAAATCAGAGATTGCTGTGTATTATGGAATTCTGTATTTGAAAATACATGTATAATCTATAGAACTGTCATTAAGTAGTTAATTTCTTTTTCTCCTCCACAGTAATAAAGGTTTCAATAATGTACTTTCTATGCCAGTTTATTCTTCATAGTGAATACACATAGTTATTAAAATTGACTATTTACTGAGAAATGAAAATATATGATTTTTTTAATACAGAGCCCTTCTTGATCAATAGAATTTGTTTTGGTGGTATTTTATCTATAGCATCTTATACCTTAGATAAGTAATCATTAAAACAAAAAGGTCAATGACAAAGTATTTATGTAAATTATATCACTGATCTCAGGAAACACATTCAGAAAGGACTTAAGGTTACTCAGTAAGAGCCTCTCATAGAACCCAACAAATCTGAAAGTTGCAATTAGACCTCAAAGGAACCAAAATATTAGTTCATGTTGAGCCAAGACTAGGAAAATCTTCCACTGCTGACATTTTCATGTTCTTAGTTTTTCAATCAAATAATCAGCCTGTAATTCAAAAGAAAACAATTTTAATGCTAGATATGATAGTCTGTGTATCAAATAATTATACTGGCATCCCTATTATAATAAGCCACAACATAAGAGCTGGATACTACACATTTTGTTCCTAAAAATATCATGCTAAAAAGTTTCTAAATATAATAGTTTATAAAACATATGAAAGTTATTCTATATATTGTATTTAAATAGTCAGAGTTTTACCTAATCATTTTGCACATTTTTAAAAATTTTCACTAGGTAGGGAAAATACATATAATACTAAAGTTTCAAAAAGTAAAGTCTTCTCATTATATCAATTCAGAGAGCTTTTCTCAATTATACATAATGTGGGGCATTATACAAGAGATTTTGGAATAAATGTCAATTCTTAATTTCTTCAAAGTCTCATAATATACTGACAAAGTCCCAAGTTTAAAAGAACTCAGATTGCCAGGATGAACCATTGGAAAATCTTACAATTTTGTTCATTTTTTTCCAATTAAAAAATAAGTTAATCTTTAGTGTAAGAAAACACAGTTAAAAATATTATAGGAATGTATTTTAATTACTTTTCTGTTAGAAAAGCATGGATCTTGTAGAAAATATCACACTGGTTTTTAACAGAGGATACAGCAGTTGTTCTGCAGAATGTCCCACTTTATTTCAAATGTGTGTGTGTTATACATATACATCTGTATCTTAAATATATATATATATATATAAATTTTTTTCGTTCAATAAAATCATCTGGATAACCAAGTTAAAAGGAAGGAAAATATGTCTGAAATATGACATATCCAGAAATCTGACGCTTTTTAACTTTTACTGTAACTAGAATAACACTATGCATTAATAAATGCTAAGTACTATTTGATGGTTATTCAGAAATAGCAACTATAAGTCACCTCATATTTGGATATAGACAATAAAAGCCTGGTAAATTACTGGTCAAGAAGCCCTACAAGGACTAGTGTCATCTAATAACTAAGGCTTGCCTGTCAGAACCACAGGCCTGTAACAGCTGAATTCCATTTCACTTTTGCCTCAGGAAAGCAAAATTCTGCAATTTTGTTAAGCACAGAGCTTCAAACTCAGATCTGGTAGTTGGTGCTACTATTGCCCTTTCTCATGGTATTTAAACTGACTATCATAAATTATAAAAACTCAACTTCTACAATCACGATGTTGATGGTTATGATATAAAGGGAGGAGGTAATATTTTCTAAGCATCTATTATATGCCAGGTTCTGTATTATTAATTGTTATACACATGAATTATCTTATTAACCCCTTCATTAACCTTATGAGGTAGGTACAATTATCTATATTCAGATAATAGATCAAGAACTTGAAACTTTAAAAGGTTAAGTAACTTGTACCTGGTGCCTCAAGTAGTAAAATCAGAATTTAAATCTAGATATGACTCCAGAGTCTAGTGCTTCTACATCATATCCCCTGCTTGCAATAGTCAGACTTAGCCATAGCTCTTCTTCCTACCAATCGGATGACCTAGAAAATCTCCTAAATTAAAAATATAACTTTGGGTATAATCAAGCAATATGCTAAAACAGTTGATCAAGTCTATGAAAGCTCTAAGTAGCTAGTATTGACAAGTAAAGAAAAGCTAAAATAAAAATGACAGATATTTTAAATATATTTGTGTGATGTTAATACAACAATAACACTTACTGTTATAAACCAGAAGGAATTGACTCTATAAATCAATTTTGATAAGAAGCCAAGCTGATTCACTGGTGCTAGAACATGAAGGTGTAAGTGGGAAATGGAACAGAATGGTGGCATATGGAAACCCATCCTGAAATGAAAAGTTAGTTGACAATTGACATTTCTATTCCAAAATAGTTTAAATCTAGTTTTCACGTTGAAACACATAAATATCAAAGACATTCAAAACAGTACTATTTTTCCTTATACACCAGAATATGCACAATTCCTCTTCTTTTCATATTAAGTTCACACACACCAAAAAAAAAAACCAAAACCAAACTCACTGCCATCGAGTTGGATCCTACTCATAGCGACCCTTCCTTGGGATTCTGAGGCAGTATCTCTGTATGGAAGCAGATTTCGCATCCTTCCTTTCAAGGAGTGGCTGGTAGATTTGAACCACTAGCCTTCTGTTTAGCAAGCAAATTCCTTAAGCACTATGCCACCAGAGCTCCTAGTGTTAAGTTCACAACGCAAAGTCTTCATCAAGTATGAAGGAAGGCCTTGACAGCATATTATGCCTTGTTGTTGTTGTTAGGTGACGTTGAGTCATCTCTGACTCATAGTGACCCTATGCACAGCAGAACGAAACACCACCTGGTCCTGAGCCAGCTTCACGATTCTTGCTATATTTGAGCCCATTGCCGCTGCCACCATGTCAATCCATCTCATTGGGGGCATTTCCCTCTTTTGTCAACCCTCCACCTTACCAAGCATGACATCCTTCTCCAGGTGAATGGTGCCCTCTGACAACATGATCAAAGTATGTGAGATGCAGTTTGGCCATTGTCACCTCTAAGGAGCATTCTGGTTGCACTTCCTCCAGGATAGACCTGTTAGTTCTTCTAGCAGTCCACGGTACCTTCAGCATTCTTTGCCAACTGCACAGCTCAAAACCATTAATTCTTCTTCGGTCTTTCTTATTCATTGTACAGCTCTCACATGCATATGAGGCAATTGAAAATACCATGGCTTGTGCCAGGCACACCTTAGTCCTCAAGGAGATATCTTTGCTCTTTAGCACTTAAAAGAGGTCTCTTGCAGCCAATTTGCCCAGTGTATACGTTGTCTGATGTCCTGACTGCTGCTTCCATGCTTAGTACAACATTTATGGACGTCTGAGTTGTCACTCTGTCTTATCACTTCAGTTCTTATAATATAAAGCTTTAATTCTTCTAAGATACGTTCCTATAATTAATCTTAAAAAATCACTGGACTCTCAAATAGAAATAGTGTTCATTTACTCCAAGACATAGCCAGTAGATGGTGCTCTTTCTCCCTAGCTCTAATAAAGTGGCCAGGCATTTCCTTACCAACAATATTTCAGTGGTTAGATTATATGATCATTAAAAAAAAAAAATATCATCGCATGAATTTCTTGTTTAGTACTGAGAATAAGTTAGATGGTAATTATAATTATGTTCTTTGTAGAGCATTTAAAAGATAATTCCTTTAAACAACAGGAAAAAAAACTAAAGTATGATTTCAAAGCTTAAAATTCAAACTGTTTTACAAGTCCACATATGCTGAGTGAAGCAAGAACACCTGTGCTACTTCTGGCCAAAGCATCTCAATACCATCTGTTCCTTTTCATTATCACACTAGGATTGTGCTTAACAGTTTTCAGAGGATATTTGCACACATCATTTCATTTGAGACTTCGAGTAAGTAGAATAGGTATTATTTTGGAGAATTTAAATGACTTGTCTGAACTCACATAGCCAGTACAACAAGTAGCATAGACAGCATTAGAATTCAGTTCTTCCAACGGTGCTAGAAGTAAACTCTACTATACTGCACTGCCTTGGTCACACAAGGCAAAGTCAAATATCTTTCAAAAAGAAGAACATTGCTTATATTAAAACAGTTGACAAATGGAACACTGTGTGCTTTTGTGCAAACTCTGGCAATCATCAGTGCAGCAGACAATGACATAAAGTTAATTTCATGCTGCTGTTGTTGTTGTTATATGCCATCGAGTGGTCTCCGACTCACAGCGACCTCTCCCCTTGGGTTTCCAAGGTGGTATCACTACAGAAGTAGATTGCCCAATCTTCCTTCCAAGGAGTGGCTGGTGGGTTTAAACCACAAACCTTCTGGTTAGCAGTCAAGTGCCTTAGGCACTACGCCACCAGAGCTCCCAATTTCATGCTAGAAGTATAATAATGTATTTTAAAATCACGTTTTTCTAAGAAAATTCAATTTACACATAGTTTTATAGGAATATATGTAATAAACAAGGCAAGGTGGACTTGTAACTCTTTTTATCTAATACCCATTGTACAAGGAACCCGAGTGGCACAGTGGTTAAGGGTGTGGCTGCTATCTGGAAGGCCAGCGGTTCAAACGCACCAGCTATCCCACGGGAGAAAGAAGTGGCAGTCTGTTTCCATAAAGATTACAGCCTAGGAACCCAATAGGGCAGTTCTGCTCTGTCATATTGGGCCACTATGAGTCAGAATCTTCTCAATGCACACAACAATAATCCACTGTATGTATTTGTCTACCCAAACAATAAGTAGAGATTAATAGAAGATGTTAAGACATGAGAAGCAGAAATTTTATTTATTAAAGTTACCTACAAATGATCTATATTCTCACTTTTAGGAAAACTGCATATAAACCATTAACTCTGCCAATTTTGCTTCAATATTATATTAAGAAATTAAATTTCATAAAAATCTATATTATATAATATTGATTTATATCTGGAAGTATAAATACCTACCTCAGATTTTTGAAATCAGTGAAATTATTTCTTTCAAGAATGGCTTTTCCAGCAGCTACCAAGTTCTCAACTACAAACAGGAAATGAACTACAGTTACTATTGCACTATAGGAGACATTAAATTCACTAAATTATTACTAATCTTAATTTTTAAAGTTCAAGTCAAAAATTGTATAAAATAGTTACACATTTAAAGACATATTCAGCAGCCCTAAGTTACTTATTCATTAGCCCTAAGCAGTTCCTGACTGCTCATCAACAACTGAAACAAAGGTTCAAATTAAGCCACCAGTTGCAACATCACTATCAGAAAATATCTCACATATGCAGACTTTGGACAGCTGGTAAGGACTGTTTAGGACACCTGTTCCTACCGAGGACTAATTTTAATTATACGGAGGCCAAGTAATTAAACAAATTAATAAGAAAGACAAGAAAGCTTTTGAATTTATCTTTAAGTTCAAAGCAAGGATATAACATTCCTTCAAGTCAGCCCAGCCTGGATTAGCCAAACACTTGTAAAATGACTACAGCTTCCAAACTATATCTACCTTCACATCTTTCTCATCTCAGTGGTTTATGGCCTTCAGATGGAATGAGCCTCCCCATTAGAAAACTGTTGGTAATGTGGAATCTTCAAAGCACAATGCAAATCTTAGAATTCCATTGTTTCTGAATGGGGTAATCATGTGTTTGAAAGGCCCAAGTGAAAGAATTAAGGGCCGTGGTTATATTGGACATATAAAATCATTGCTAATATTTACTTCTCCAAGTCAGGCTTGATTCAGGAGACTGTAATGACCAGGCCAATACTTGTTATGTGCCATGGAGTTGGACCTGACTCACAACGACCACTTCTTGGTTTCCAAGGTAGTATCACTACAGATGTAGATTGCCCAACCTTCCTTCCAAGGAGAAGCTGGTGGGTTTGAACTGCCAGCCTTCTGGTTAGCAGTCAAGTGCCTTAGGCACTATGCTACCAGAGCTCCTAGGCCAATACTACATAATCAATACTACATGATCTGCTTGTGTCTTTCTAGTTTCTTCAAGTAAACTTAAGCCATTGGCTTTACTCTTTCCTTTTTACAGCATTTATAGCATTTAAAGCTATACTTCCCTCTAAGCACTACCTTAGCTGCATCTCACAATTTTGATACACTATATTTTTATTACCATTAACTCAAAGTATTTTCAATTTCCCTTGTGATTGGTTCCTTCACCTATTTATTGAGAAGCTATTTAGATGTGTGTTGTTAGACTTAAAATATTTAGGGCTACCTTGATGGTATGATGGTTAAGTGCTCAGCTCAAAGGTCAGTGGTTTGAATCTATTAGCTGCTTCATGGGAGAAAGATGTGGTAGTTTGCTTCCCTAAAGATTTACAGCCTCGGAAACCCTATGGGACAGTTCTACTCTTGACAGCAATGGGTTTATGCTAGATGTTGCTATTTTTTAATTTAATTCCATTGTCATCAGAGAACATACTTTATACAATTTTATCATTTGAAATGTATTAAACCTTCTTTTATTATATAGAATATTGCCTCTCCTGGTGAACATTGATGCTCTTAAAAAAAGTATATATTCTGCAGTTAGGTGGAATTCTATAAAAGTCAATTAAAGTCACTGTGATCAATAGTGTTATTGAGCTTGTCTGTATCCTTATTATTTTTTCAACCTTATAGATTTATAACTATAAATTGCAACAATTTTTAAAATTTATTGTAGAAGTATTCAAATATATACAGAGAGAATAATAGAATGCAATCCCAAATATTAACATTTAATTTGCAGCAGTTAAAAAAAAAAAACTAGTTCTATAAACAGCCTCCATTTTCTACAAACCCTCTACCTTAAAGATAAATTTAAGAATTCCTAAGAAGCCAAAAGATAATCTCTAAGAAACAACAACAAAAATAAAAATAGAAACTTTTTTTTTTTAAAAGAAGAAATACTGCAATATTTCAATCACAGTCAGGTAGACTACAATTGGATCCAATTTTTATAAGCTCAAAAGACACCCTCAAGTTATATATCAAAGATGCTCTGAAATGTATCAATAGAACTTCAGATGACTGAGGGGCTTTGTAGTATCGAGTAGTTCAGTAGCCTAAACACTAATGAACTACACATCAAAGTTTTCCATCAAAGAGGTTTCTTATTCACCTTCAAAAGCTCTGGCCCAGTTTATTCATTTTATAGGCTGCCTGGGAATATTGACCAAACTAATCACAGACCCTGGTGAAAAGCTATCAAAGTAGATTTGAAGCAAACTTAGAAATATCTTAGGAAATGAGAGCTGACAAGTCCCAAAAGGAAAGAAAAGGAAAATGAAAGATAGTCTGGCAAGAGACAGGATTCAGGGTGAGTCTCCTTTCAGAGGCTAAACTTCATCACTAAAATCCCATAATTAGATTTTGGTCCTATCTAATTTCATCAATAGTTAAGAGCCTACAACATGGCTTTACTACCAGGCAAGGTGAGTTCAAATGCCATATCCTAACTTACTTGTTCGTAATTATTCATAGCGCTTTTCATTTTCAAAGTCAAGAAAAGCCATCATTTAAAATGTAATAAAGAAGCATTATCTTTTACAGATATCATCCAGTCTTTAAAGAGTAAATAACATCATGTCTTGAATTTGCTTCAAAGTAGTCCTGTATGGTAGAGAGTTAATATATGAAATAAGATTGGTCATGAGTTAATAAATGTTAAAGTTGAGTGATTAACATATAGAGATTATGTTATTTTCTTTATTTTTGTATATATTTGAAATTTTCCATAGTAAAAGTTTTTAGAAAGTCATAATATTCCTTGTGCATAATTAAAAACCAAGCTAGACTTTTTTATCTTCAGTGCCATCACTGATGCCAATTCAAGATGATATACCTATGAAGAATACTATCATCATCTTACCCAGTTCTACTTGATCTTTCTTTAGTTCGTTGCAGTTCCCAATATGCTTCTTTGGCACTACAAGATAATGATGAGGTGCTGCTGGTTTGATATCTTTAAAGCAAACTAGGTCTTCATTCTAAAGGAAAAAACATACCATTTGTTATTCAACAAATTTTTAGAAGGATTTCTAATAATGTTATGGTATGACTTAAATATCTTAAATCCTAGTGTGATAAGGGAATGATACTTATTTTACAAAGGGTCCTGGTGGTACAATGGTTAAAGGACTTGGCTGCTAACTGAAAGGTCGGTGGTTCAAACGAACCTGCTGCTCTGGTAGAAAAGACCTCATGATTTGTTCCCATAAAGATTAAAGCCCAGGAAACCCAACTGGCAGTTCTTCTCTTCCTATAGAGTTGCTATGAATTGGAATTGACTTATGGCACATACAACAACTTATGTTATAACTAAACACCACTGGAAAACTCAAATATTTTGTGATTATGTATTAAATCTATAAAGACAAACTTTAGCTTCCTTCATGAAATTCTCATTTATAGATGTTTTATAAAGCCCATTTCAGAAGAAACAGTTGAGTGAAGTTCATTAAAACTTCATTGTAATAATCCCAGTTTTTCGTTTCATTATATGTTTATTCCTCCTTACATTAAAGATTTTTCACTCTTAATACATACTTTTAAAGGTTTGACTACAAAAATCATAAGAAGATTGATCATTGTTATTTACTTTCAATTTTTTTTCCAAAGTGGCCTTTCCCTCAGTTGTAATATCATCATCATCTAGCATTTACTGATCCAGAGGTAACATTTTAAACATATTTTAAAAAGTAATTGTACATAAATGTTCTCCTTTTTTATGTTTACTTACCACTTTACAGGATTAAAAAGACTTTGAAGTGCTGAAGCAGATTACAGTATATTGTAATGTTATGTGCCCAATCCATTAGATGTATGACACCAGTTTTCTGATTTACATTACTCCAACTCCAGCCAGTATAGAAACTCTTTTACTGCCTGTTAATTCAGAGGCATAAGGAGTCTAAAGTTGCCAGGTGGTATTCTTAACTTCCAGTTCAATGAATAAGTGTTCTGTCTCCTGGTGGGAGAATTCTTCCCTTTGCGACTAAGACTTCTAGACCAGCAGAGCATAAAGTCAAGGGGACAGGAAGCAAACATGCTGTTACTGGACCACTAGGGGTAATAGTGAATCATATTACTCTGAATCCTGGCTATGATAGAAATAGTAGCACATATTACATACACCCTCCGGAGAACACTGCCTCAGCCCTACAAGGTATTGTCATCTAGCTAGTGCTGCAACTGAGTCTGCAAAAGGCCATTCAGCCATTCTATCAAACCAGATGCTTCAGCATGATGAAGAACATGGTAAGACCAGAGAATTCCATGACCATGGGCCCAAAGCCACACTTTAGTTTCTGTGAAGTGAGTCCCTTGATCTGAGGCAATGCTGTGTGAGAATCCATGACAGTGAATAAGGCATTCTGTGAGTACACAGATAGTAGTTTTGGCAGAAGCACTGCATGCAGCGAAGGCAAATACATAGCCATAATAAGTGTCTATCCCAGTAAGAATAAACTGCTGCCCCTTCCATGATGGAAGCAATCCAGTGTCATCAAATTGCCACAACACTGCTAGCTGATCATGCTGGGGAGTGGCTCCATCTTGAGGACTCAGTGTTGTTCTTGGCTGCTGACAGACAGCAGTAGCACTGGCTGTAGCCAAGTTAGCCTTGGTGAGTTGAAGTCACCGATTCTGTGCATAACCTCCATCTCTGTCACCATGGCCAAGTTAAATTAGCACTGAGATATTTCCTTAGTATAATCTCAAGTAAGGTAAATATAAATGTCTAGCCCAGTGCTTTTCAATTTCTTTTCATTATTGCCCCCTAAGGAGAAGTTTGACACTTTTTTCCCTAATCCCACCTCCATGAGATTTTAATACCATAAATATATGCTATACTTTTTTCTCCATTCTGTGTATATCTGTACCTCATACATTAAAACAATAAGATTTTTGTCCCTCACCCCACCCAAAAACAAAAAAATCAATAAGGCAGCTTACCAGAAAGATGTGACTAGTGTTTTATTGACTATGCAAAAGCATGCAATTGTGCAGATCATAACAAATTATGGATAACATTGAGAAGAATGGAAATTCCAGAACACTTAATTGTGCTTATGAAGAACCTGTACACAGACCAGGAGGCTGTTGTTTGAAGAGAACAAGGGGATACTGCATGGTTAAAATCAGGAAGGGAATGTGTCAGGGTTGTATCCTTTCACCATACTTATTCAATCTATATGCTGAGCAGATAATCTGAGAAGCTAGACTATACGAGGAAGAGCATGGCATCAGGATTGGAGGAAGACTCATTAACAACCTGCAATACACTGATGACACAACTCTGCTTGCTGAAAGTGAGGATGACTTGAAGTATTTACTGATGAAGATTAAAGACTACAGTCTGCAGTATAGATTACATCTCAATATAAAGAAAACAAAAATCTTCACAACTGGACCAATAACCTGCATCACAATAAATGGAGAAAAGATTAAGGTTGTCAAAGATTTCATATTACTTGGTCCACGATCAACACCAATGGAAAAAGCAGTCAAGACATCAGACAACATATTGCACTGGGCAAATCTGCTGCAAAAGACCTCTTTAAAGTGATGCAGAGCAAAGATGTCTCTTTGAAGACTAAGGTACACCTAACCCAAGCCATGGTATTTTCAGTCGCCTCATATGCATATGAGAGCGAGACAATAAATACAAATAGTTGATGCTTTTGAGTTGTGGTATTGGCAAAAAGTACTGAAAGTACCATGGACTGCCAGAAGAACTAACAAATCTGTTCTGGAAGAAGTTCAGCTGGAATGCTCCTTATAAGCGAGAATGGCCAGACTTAGTCTCACCTACTTTGGTCATGTTGTCAGAAGAGAGAATTTTCTGGATATCATGCTTGATAAAGTGGATGGTCATCGAAAAAGGGGAAGACCCTCAATGAGATGGACTGACACAGTGGCCGCAACGATGGGTTCAGGTATAGCAAGGATTGTGAGGCTGGCAAAGGACTGGGCAATGTTTCATTATGAGTGTGAACAGATTTGATGGCACCTAACAACAACAGCAACAACCAGGGCTTAGCAGTTAAAACCCACTAGCTGCTCCACAGCAGAAACACTACGTAGTCTGCTTCTGTAAATATATACAGCCTTGGAAACCCTATGAGGCAGTTCTGTTCTGTCCTAACAGGTCACTATGAGTCAGAATCAATACAATGGCAGTGGGTTTGGTTTTAGATTTGGTTTTGGTTAAAAAAAACAATATTCATCCCCTTGCAAGTGATATCTCACCCACTTAGAAATACATGGACTTGTCTTGGTTTAAGTTTTCATTCTGTGGTATACAATAACAAAACATTATACAGAGGGCCATGGAATAAGGACCTTCTTTGCAAGTTTTTGTGGAAAAGATTTCCCAGGCTGCCACCACATAATACTGGTAACTCTGATTATTCCAGATCAAATTTTCTCCTCTGAACTAAATTATACCTTACTTTACATAAATCCAGGAGCTCTGGTGGCATAGTGGTTAAAATATTTGGCTGCTAACAAAAAGGTCAGTGATTTGAACCCACCAGCTGCTCCATGAAAGAAAGATGAGTCAGTCTGCTTGTATAATGATTTACAGCCTTGGAAACCCTATGGGGAAGTTCTACTATGTCCTATAGGGTTGCTATGAGTTAGAATCAACTGGATGGCAGTGGGTTTAGTTTTGGTTTTTGGTTACATAAACCCAATAGTTTCTAAATGTTTACAATGAAACACATATGAATACTGTATTTTTACACAAATAACGTACACATTACATGTTTTCTGGCAAACTGCACGACCCTCCCACATTAGTTTCCTATGCATGCTATATGCATTGCACATGTATGCCTGTATGTTATTTACATGGGTCCATTATATGCTAAAAATAAGAGGTATATATGTGTGTGTATACATATAGAAATAATTTAAATATATTAGGTGATTATTCTCTTTTAAAAAGATTAACCTCTAAACTTTAATTATTGAACTCTCATGTATCAAATCATCTTGACTCATTTAGACAAACATTTAGAAGCACTATAACCCAGCAATCTGCTCCCATAAAGATTACAACCAAGAAAACCCTGTGGGGCATTTCTGCTATGATATGAACTCAACTCGACAGCACCAAATAATAACAACAACATTGCACAAGCATGTGTACCTTGCTTACTTTCTTTATTAAACCCACTGCCATCAAACCAGTTTTGACTCATACCAACCCCCATTCAGTTTCCAAGGTAGCAAATCTTCACAGAAGTAGATTGCCTCATCTTCCTTCTGCAGAACTACTGGTGGGTTTGAACCACCAACCTTCTGGTTAGCAGTCAAATGCCTTAGGCACTGTACCACTAGACCTCCTTATGTTCTACATTACATGGAATATTGTATATATTCATTCTGTACCCCTATTTAGAGAATAAATTACTTAAAAGTATGACCATGTCTAATTTCCTCTCTAAAAAGGGATTCTTTATACAGTTTACTCTGAGAATATTCCTGACCAAGAAAAAATCCTGACTTTGGCCAGGAAGAAATCTGATAAAGTTTGGACAGTCCTATCCTCCCCTGTTGCCAATTTTTTGACAAAGTTTGATATTTTAAAGCATTCACTTTACCTCTTCACCTCTAAATTAATTTTATATTTTGTAAAATAAGAGAATGAAGAAGCGGAGCTAGGTCCCTTTGGACTCTATGGATCAGTCCAGCAGATACCTACTTTATACACAGACAGTGAATGAAGTAGTTACTCTTTCACCTGTCTTCACTCTCCTCTCCCATTTTGCTTCTCTCTCCCTTCCACCTTCACTTCACTTCCACCCTCTATCCATGCTCTATCATTTTAGCCACTGTCTGGCCATAAATTCTTAACTCCCTTGTACCACTTCACTCCTGTAATAACACCTGCATGGAAAAACCTCAATCCTAGGTCATCACCATTGCACTTCTGTCTAAACCTACACTCAGGCTGCTGCTGAAGGGGAAAATATCACACACC